GTGGAGATTTTGCTGCCTACAGTGTTGGTGTTTTCAAGCAGCTGATTTTCTGTTGAAGCAGTGAGGCAGTGGAGTCCCTGTGATAAGCATCTCTCTGATGTTTATCCAGTAGCTGATCTTGCCAGAGTGAATAGACCAAGAAACGGAGCCTAGTCCAGACCGACTCACTTGAGATGTCTCTGGTGGTGTGAGTGCACTTGTGTTAAGAAATGAAGGTCATCTTGATCTGGTAATTTCCTGTTACCATTTAAACCATGGTGTACCACTGACACATATGGGTTTGTGTGGATCCAGATATGTATCAGAAGAAACAAAAGCCAGAAGTTTTTGATCCCTCTTGTTCTCTGGTTTCTGGAGTCTTGGAAAATCCCCAGATCTCTCCTCAGTGCCTGAAAAATAAGGACATATCCCTTTTTCTCCTTCCATCCCCCAGCTTTTATGGATGGGTGATTGTAATTACACGTTGACTTACTGATAGCGAAATTTGACACAGATGAGTACAGTTGAAGGGAAGTCACTCAGCCTTTCTCTCTGAGGAGGCATAAGCAGCACTTTGAAGTTGGAGTTTGGAATGGGAATGGGTATTTATTAACAGGAGTGCAGGCTGTGCTCCCCACCCCATGAAGCCGAGGGCTGTAGGATGCCAGATGAGCTATGGCAGAGCACTGCTAATCACACACTGCCCGGGGTAAGCACGTATAGATTGCCCTTGTAAATTGCTCTCAGAAATCCTTTTAACTGGATGATGGGCCTTAATTTTGTTTTATGACATTTGTTCTAGCAGGTCAGTAACTGTTTATGGATTTGAGGACATTTCTGCTGTCGCAGGTGTCCTAACATAAATATGTCCATTTGCTTAGTTGTCCTGAGGTGCCGTGGGCATTTGGCAGAAGGCACGACCTGCTGGGATTTTTTTTTAACTGAATCACTTCCCTTTGTGGCAGTTGCTCTTTCTCAAATGTGAAGGCAAGGAGCATCCAAATGGAGAGTAACAAGCCTGGGTGTAAGTCAGAGGCAATTAAATGTTTTAAATATTGTGACAAAATCAGTGCATTTCATTGCCTTAACACTAAAATAAGACGTCAAGTGTTGCCTAAAAGTGTTAACTTTTCTTTTATACTTATTTTAAAAGTTTGCTATACCTTCTGATGTTTACATATTTCTACTAAAGTTCTCACGCACTGTTCATGTAAATAATAATTGTTTTGCATTCTTCTTTGTAAGAAGAGAGAATTAATAGACTGTTAGTTTAACCAGTGTAGTTAGAAAAGTAGCAATTTCATCCTCCAATCCTCTGTCACCTTTAGAATTCTATATATTGCGAAGTCAGAAATAAAATTCACTCTTTTTCTCCTTTGAATTTACCAGGCTTCTGTGTACTCATTTCATGTCCAATAGTGACAGTCAAGATTTTTGAAATAGTAATTTTGGAATATTTCTGGTTTGTAGTTTGGGTTTTTTTGTTTTTTTTTTTTGGTTTTTGTTTTTTTTTTTTTTTGGTTTGTGTGTTTTTGTTTTTTTGGGGTTTTTTTTTTGTTTGTTTGTTTGTTTTTGGTTTGTTTTTTTTTTTTGTTGGTTGCTTTTGGTTTCTCTTTTTTTGTATCATTTACACTTTTTGTAAATTGTAGTCAAACCTTATATTTCTTACCAAGTACTTACTATAGACAGTATCACACCATAATCCCCACTTACATTATGGAATGTGGAAGTATATGTCTAGAGTAATTTGCTTGACATGTATCTTCTGTTCCCTTAAGGGCATTAGATTAGTGAAAAAGGATTTTGATTATGTTTTTGTCTTATCAGGAAGTTTTTCCACTTTAACATGCAAGTCATGGACCCTTACATATTAACTCTTAACAGTTCTTTTACATGTGCAGCAGTGCAACATCTTCTGAGTGTACATTTGTCCCATAAGTTCAGTTTCTACCATGGTGCAGAAACAGTCCTGCAGGTCTTCTAGAATACTGAAATTATCTGCTACTCTGGGAGAAAAAGTTTTCATGAGTTCATGTAGAGAAAATTGCATTAGCAATATGATGGGGTGCTTCAGCCACCAGTGTTCTGAGATTTGAAGAGCTTAACAAAGAGAATGGTTGTATACAGCTGCTACTACTGATATAAACAGCTTTGCTCTTTGTTTTGTTTTCCCTCCATCCTAAAACCATATGTTTGATTGAAACAATCATGTAATGGCCTTTTATACACGTTACATGGCATGCCAGACTAGAACAATGATCTCAAGTGCCTTTCTGGCAGGAGACCATTGAGCCAACAGCTCACATTGCCTTCTTCTCACAGCTGCTCAGAGCTGTGAGGGATGGAGCTGTGGCAGTACAGACTCCTGCAGTTTTCTCCCTGGGCCTTCTCCACCACCTTGGGATGGGACTGAATCTGCCAAGGTGCTCAGCAGGGATGCTTGCATGAGTTTGATGTGTGATAGGGATGTCCACATGCAGATCAAGCAACAAGCACCTCTCCAGTCATACCATAAAACTGGGGAGAAGCTGCAGAAACTTGCCTGGCTCACTGCAAGGAAAGCTCTTTGCCAAAGCTGTTGTCCCTGCTCTATTTTCCTGATTGAAAGAGAACTGGTTTTCAAAGACCATTTGATATTTTTAATGTCTGTTTCTGAGATGAGTCCAGAGCTAAAGAACTATGTTTAAAGTTCTTAATGGATCAATGTTAATCTTGGGGAATCTGATAAATTCTTTTTTAGGTCAGCGCTTTTTGGGGCAACCTGTGCAAAACAGTATTTTAGAACCTGTGGAGGCTTAATAAGCCAACCTTCTCTAATTGGCCTACTATTTTTTAATAGACCTGACAGTAGACAGCAGATTTTTATATTTTTTTAGCAGGTAGACAGCTCTCATGGCAGAGCTGTGCTTTCCTCTTACTTAGCAAGATAGTGAGTAAGTGTTGTGAGGTATCTTTTTGCTGGGTCAGGACATCGAAGGAACAAGGGGAGCTTTCAAATGCAGCTTTATCTCTTAATGTGGTTCTGCCTCTTCTCCAGCCTAAGTACTGCAGAAACTGAGCAGGACTGGGGTAGGAAAATGTTGCTAAAAGCATCTAATCACAGCCTCAGTCACTGGAGTACCTACTTGCTGCCCACTGTCCTGCTTCAAAGACTCTGAATTTTCAAGAGCTTGAGCTGGATTTCATAGACCTGAGTGTCAGACAAAAAAACATTTGCTGTAAAAGTCGAGGACACTCTCTTCCTGCCTGGAACAGCCTGAGCTGGTTATGAGCACAGAGCCGCTATTGTTTTGCCCTGGCAGATTGTGCTAAAAGCTTTGAAGCAGCGTTTGCATGTAGGTGTCTGTTTTCTAAGCAGTTTTTTTTCTTTTTTTCTTTGTTAAGGAAAAAAAAAAAAAAAAAAGGAAGAAAGTGAAAGAGAGACCCCTGCACCCTCATCTCCCAGCCTTTTCTTGGCATGGCTCTTTGACTTGGTAATTGTTGATTTTACAAGGTGTTGTTTAGGCTTCCAAGTTTTTCTTTGGCCTGGCTATTAAACTTCTGTTACTTGTTGGATCAAAATCAGAGGATACTCAGTGAATTAGTGCAGGAACTTTGCCATCATAGATAACAGAGGTGCATAATATTATATTATGCAGTACATTTTGTGGAGAATTACAGGTGATAACTGATAAACTATTGGGTATGTGTAGCACTTACATTTTAAAATTCCTTGGGGAAATCAACAGGCTGCAATAAAAAAAGGGGAGGAATTTAAGGACTGTCATGCACAGCACTGCTGTTGTGCCTCAGCTGCACTGCACAGCTCTTCGGCTGCTTGTTCCTGGCTTCTATGAGCGGGGTTCATTAAAGTTTCAGTCTAGTAAGCTGTCACTCTGAAAGGTGTCATCCTGCTCTGCCTCTGCATAAATCTCAGTCAGGTCCTAGAGGACACTTCTAAACTGTTTTTAATCTAGAATTTCAGAGCTGCTGTAGATAATGTAGGATAAGCAATAATCCTCCTTCATATGTGACTTTTCCCAGTCTGCTGACCCTCACCTGACTTGCATTGTATGGGAAAGAGCAATCATGGATATCTCTAAAACACTGAAGTTCAGCCAGTGTTTGAGAAGAGCTAGGGAAGAAATTATCTTCTACTTCACCATATGATAGTTTCCTGTTCTCTCTTAGCAAAATGCAAGCTCCTACCCAGAGTGGAAGAGAAAGGCATCTGTTTACGACAAAGAACATGAAAGTCAGTGGGAGGGGGAAGGGTATTATAGCAAAGAGCCTGGTGTGTCATGCTTTATTACTCTTATCCCTTTCAGAAGGCAAATCTAGAGTGAATTAGAGCAAATGTGAAAAGCATGACCTTTCTTTCTTCAAAGAGCCTGTGGGGAACAGGGAGTGATTGAGCACTAGTGGAGAGAAACTTCCTCTGAGCTGGTACATGTGAGTTATTGGCCATGCAGTACAGGGTACTGCATGGCCTATTCAAAGACATGATATTGCTGTACCTAAAAATCAGAAAATAAATTCTGCAAGCATGAAAAGTGGGAAAAGTAATTCCCCTTCTGTGGTTTTCTGATATTTTAAAATTGTGTTTGGATTGGTCTTTTAGTCTTTCACGTGAAACTGTGAAAGAAAGGCCGATTTTTTTTTTCTGAATGGATTGTCAGTGTAGTGGACAGCGTGACTCTAGATTCTGAAGTTTTAGGGAAATCATCAGGACATGTGTTAAAAAGGGTAAGAGTTGGAGAGTGGAACGGGGCTTACTAGAGACATTGCCTGTAGTGATTCCTTGGAGTGAGCAGGAAAGACTCGACTTCTTTACTCTGGTATTCCCTTGGATGGTAGATAAATATGAATTACTCTCTGGTTTCAAACAGTGCAACTAAGACATGAAGACTGACTGTGTTCCTGTTTGCCTGGGTGTGAGTGTGTTAGGAGAAGCAGGGACAAGGAAAGTGAAGGAGGTCAGTGTCAGGAAAGGTGTCTGCTCTTGCAGAGGTTATGCTGACTTTCTTTAGCTGCCATTAGGCCCTTGATTTTAGCACTCCTTCAGGCAGCTGAAGAGGTGTCTGGAGGGATTTGGCAACACTGGATGAGTTGCTGGTGGCTGAGTGGGTGGAACCATTGTGAGCCGTGAAGGATTCACATGGAAGGTTCCATGAGGGCCCCAGAGAAGCTTCTCAGGCAGTCAAGGATTTGCAGCAACTCGTGGCTTCCCTTCACTGCATCCTTCTGTTGCCATATTATGACCTTGCTCAGAAGCTGTGGTCTGTTGGTTGGCCTGGTACTGCTTCACCTGAGGTGGGTGTCTCTTTTCCCAAGTAATAAGAGACAGGATGAGAGGACATGGCCTCAATTTTCACCAGGGTTGGTTTAGATAGGATATTAGGGAGAATTTCTTTCCCAAAACAGTTGTCAAACAATGGAACAGACTGCCCAGGATGTGGTGGAGTCAGCATCCCTGGAGGTATTTAAGAGATGTGTAGATGTGACACTGAGGGACAGAGTTTAATGGTGGACTTGGCAGTGCTCCCTTGGCCTTTGCGATCTTGGAGGAGTTTTCCAAACTAAATGATCCAACGATTCTATGCTTTGGCCCAGGTTTTGCCAAAATGCTTATCAACGTTGCACTTTGCTACCTCCCCCTTGCTCTTCCAGAAGCCCACATCATCTGTGAAGATGTGCATGGAGCTGCATTTGAGAGAGGTAAAAGTCCTGCCTGGCAGCCACCTGCTCCATGGGAATAGCCACTGGATTGCCTGTAGTAGCTGCCTTCTGGTTCTTGGCCAGTGTGAGTGGATCAGGCACAAGCTGGGTTGCAGGGAAGGGAGGAGAGGTGAGGGGGTGTTGCCAGGTGAATCTGCCTGGGCAGCCCTCTTACACAGAACATGTAGAAAGAAGCGGGAACTATGGTGGAGGTAGGGATGCACAGCCTGTGGAAAAACAGGCAGCGGCAAAATACAAAATCATTTGGAAGTGTGGTAAAGAAGCTGGAAAGAAAAGAACTAGTTTTAACAAAAAAATAGAGTGTAGTAAAACCAGGGAGAAGAAAAGATACAACAAAATTAACATATACTTAAAGAAAAATTTATAAGGAATTTATTGGTTGTGAGAGATTTTTGGGTGGGAAAAGAAATGATAAATAGTTCTACATACCTTTAATCTCCCATAGTAGGCATAATACTCAACTGAGAAAGTAAAATCTGTGAAACTTCATTTTGTGGCTAATAAATACCTTTCTTTGGGATGTTTATTAAGGATGTTGAATTAACAATTGAAAATGAGGCCATTTGCTACCTTCAAATGTAAATTTTTTTTTTGTTCTCAAATAAATAATTCAGTAACTTCTTATGAGCTTTAGAGAGCAAGCAGTAGCATGGCAAAGTTAAGTTCTTTATCATCTCTTTTTTGATCTTTGCTAAGTTGCTGTTGTGAAAAGTGTAAATTGTCCTTGAGTTGAAGCTGCTGCATGCAGCACATACGTACAGAGTGCTAATTTAACTGGGACTGCACTGCCATTGCACCAGCCAGCTGAGGCGAAAAGGCAATTCTTAGGGTACATTTACCAAAGCAGGATGCAACAGTTTCAGCGGGGGGCAGAAGATCTGATGCTCTTTCAGAAGATGTGAAGGTGTTGAGGATGTGTGGAAAATGCTAAGGAAAATCTGTTTTGAAAGAATAATGTAGAACCCAGCAGAAAAAAAAAAAAAAAAAGACAGTGGGTGCAAAGCCCTGGTGTATGTCTGTGTTTTGCTTGTCCAGAGAGCAGATATGCACAGGGAAAAGCTATCTGTAAATGGCACTGTATGCTCTCTGCTGAAGAGATGCAGCTGGGTTTGGCAGCTGTCCCCCAATGGGCTAATTAAGAGAAGGAAAGCACAGAGAAGGAAAGTGTTTTCACCAAATGTAAGACATTCACTTTCCTTTTTGTCCACTGAGCTTATTTGGGAAAGCCTTGTCAGCTTTGTGTTGTGGAAAGTACGTATCTCATGTTTTGAAAGTACTGTCTTTAAGTGACATCTTCATTCTTCAATCTGATTTTTATAGTCTAGGTTTCAAAGCAATCCCTAAAACAATCTTAACTTTGTTTAAGCCATAATGAAGGAAGATCTCCTTGTTTTTTTTCTTTCCAGCCTGCATCATGGAAGATAAAGCAAGGTTCTCTAATGAGCTGTGGTAAGACCAGGAGACAAAATAGAAAGGGGAGAACCAGGATGTCAGCAGCAGAGGGGATGTTTTCTAAAATAAAGAAATAGTACATTTTGATGTGTTTTTTTTCAAGCAGCTTGGGGGAAAATTTTGTATTTGTTGTAACAATTATTTTATTTGTAAGGGGTAGATTATGAGGAAATAACTCCAGTGACCTTCCAGAATGTGCTACTTCTTTCTGGTTTCAATAGGAAAAAAAAGCAGTGACATTTCAGTGTTCCTGATGTGCCATTAACAAAATTTATGTTTATTCATGCATTTTTCAATTAGCTGTTGAGAGTGCTGCATACTTTAGGAGGAAGAGAAGTCTAGCATAATCCAGGCTCAGAAATGTCCCCAGTCATCTTCATTTCTGTGTAATGTGGAATTTTAGCTTCTTTGCACCCTACCTGAGTGATCTTTGCACATCTTAGTGAGGTATTTGACAGTAACCATAATTTTTTTCCTCTTGACAGCTGAGAGAGGAACAAGATGTTTATCTCATTCGTTATGCTTATTTTATGATTAGAAAAATCCATGTGATTTTGATAAAGATGGATAAGAGATGTTTCCTCTTGTGCCTGATTCTGTCCTTGGTGTGGTGGGATGCTATGAATCCTTGAAAGGGAAAGGAAAGGGAACCTATTACTGCTTCCTTATTTCTGAGTACTGCAAAGTTGCTAGTACACAGTGCACTTGAGGGTCCAGTGCCCAAAGAGTCATAAAACATGATACTCTGCCATTTTCCCTCCTTTATAATTGTAGGATAGAGATTACAAATCTGTTCCAACACAGAATTTTGTTTCTCATCTGTGGTACCTTTCTTAATGAATGAATAAATAGAAGTGTAAGCAGATACTAAACAGCTTGTGGTTGCTGTACAATAGGAAAAGAAGATGCAATTCTCAGATTAATTAGCAGTTTACAGTCCCTATAAGCAGAATATCAATAAAGATTTTACGGAAGCAATGTTTCAAGTATAGCTGAAGTATAACTGAATGTCTGCAATTATTTTTCTGGGCTCTACAGGCATGTCTCTTTGGAATTATTAACTTCATTATTCATTTGAGAGAAACCGGGTCAGAGAGACATATAGTGAGGCAGGGAGGTTGTTTGGCACACTGGGATTGCAGAAGAGAAGCTGGCCCTAGCAGCAGAGTGTGCTGCTCAGATGGCAGCTCTTCCAGAAAAGGCCTTGCCAAGGAGCCACAGCCCAAATGACAACCATGTGGAGCAGAAGGGAAATGATAAATTTGCCAATGTGTAAATGGAGAACTGCAGGAGGTCAACTGCAGGAGTCATGCTGTGAGTATGAGACATAATAGGCCTGTACCTTGCTTATGCTTAAAAGTTTTGATGTAAGAGTAATAGGGATCTTCATTTCTGACAAATGGAAAGATAATACAGGTTCCTGGAGACTGTTATTTGCTCTAGAAGATGCGGGGAGTTTTATCCATAGAGGTTATATAACTCTGCATGTTGCCACTAGTTATCTTCAATTCCAAGTACCAGCCTAAGAAGGGAAAAAAGAAAACTCTTCTTGTCTTCAGGTAAGTGTGACTGGATGGGGGTTCACCTACCAGCTGGGGTCATCCCACCACGAGGCAGAAGGTTAAACAGAAAGAAATAAGCAGAACATGTTTAAAAGGGTCAACTCATTTTAGGAAAGCTTGCTTGTTACGAGTGGCACCCATATCCAGCACACCCACTTGATTGTACCAGGGATGGGCACTGTGCACGGAGCCAGCTGGAACAGGAGCTTGGGTAGGATAGTGGCCATAAATCCAACTGTTCCTCAGAGGTCCTGCCACCAGCAAGGGTCTAGGAACACAGCAAACTTCAAGGCATATTGCAGAAGCTCTTGCTTTTTTGTCTGGGTTTAGTTCTGCCAAGTTGTATGTACCCCAGCCAGTGCTGGGGATCGTAGTTTCTGACTCTTGTTTTCTTGGTTCCCGACTCTTGGGTTTTTCACAAAGTTGTGATACCACATGCTCTAAGAGAAGAGCTAGCAGTGAACTGCACACAATTATGTAATTTATTTGCTTTGATAGAGTACACTTGTCAAGTGACAGTGTTTGAGATCCATTTCAGCACAGGAAAAGATTTCACCTTCTGATGTGAATGTCATCCTGCCAAAGGGAAAGGAGCATTTTCCTATGACAGACTGTTTCTTCTTGGTTAATCAGCAGGCAGAAACTACCTTACTCAGTTTACCTCTGAGAAGGTGACTAGACAGTTTAATCCTACCCAAAGAGCATTAACATTTATACAAGTTTGTTGAGGGCAGGAAAATAACATTTCAATTAATACATTTTTCTGTCCTGAGGAGCAGAAGATTTGTGAAGATTTACGTAGATTTGTGTGAAGGTCTCCTAGGGAAGCTCTTTTTGTGGGATGTTCTGCCTCTGGGCTAGGCAAACCTCCAGGACTTTGGACTAACCTAGGAGCTGACAGGGTTTATGCCTTCAGAGCTAGGAAATACAGACAAAGGGAAACCCTCCTGGCTCTGATCTGCAGTACGGTAAAGGTTAATTTTGGTCTACTGTTCACATGTTGCTGAAGAAATTGTTGTTACTACATTCCCTCTGTGTTTAGATTGTGTAAAGGAGTTTTCAACTCTTGCCCTTTTCTGATTTCAGGGGTGATTCCAGAATGACTGGTGTTGGTCTTCCCCGCACAGCTCTTCTGGGCATTTGAGAGATGACACAACAAGAAGCTGAAGACCCTGTTGGCCATTACTAATGCAGACTTCTCTGTGGTTGAGATGACTTTTAATGGGACACAGCAGTGTAGTCAGAGGGAGAGAGAGAGGTTGAAACGTGTGAATCTCCATGGGATTTTGAACAATATCTCAGTTTGGTTTTGCATGCCTGTCTGGGTATATGCAAATGACAGCTTCAAAATAATTTCATTGCATGCTCCTCTCTACTGCCAAAACATCTGATGCATCAGTAGGTTCCATGGTCATAAAGCTAAATCCTACATTAGTTTCAGACTATAAGAAGCTGAAATCATTAAGTCCCTCTAGAAGACAATGTTGGCCACAAAGAGAAAATTATAATATGATAATAATTTTCACTCTGTTCACTGTCTTCAGGGCTCAGTTAATCCTTTGGATGTTTTCTGGTGGGAGGAGGTGGATGTGTGCTTGTGTCAGTCCCTTTTATTGAAAATTACTTAATTCATTGGGATGGAGCAGAAGTGATTTTTTTAAATAAATAAGTCCGAAATTGTTGAATAAAAATGCCAAAAATAATGTTCCCGTTGTGAACTTGAGCTTTCAAACATAAGCACATTAGAATTAAGGCTGCAGTAGAATTGAGGCTGCAGTTGCACGTTCTGATACAGGTATCACAAGCCATAAATGAGACCTTCTCAAAACATTATAATTTTTTGTGCAATGGTTCTGGCAGTAGGCCATTCCTTCTCCAGATTTCAAGCCCTTTCTCAGCAGCCTGATACCACCTGAAAGTTTTCAAAGAAAATACTTGCAATGCAGTGAATGTTTCCTTCTTCTAATTTTTAGTTAAGTTGCCTAAACTGCTGGGGTTGAAAGCTCCCTGAGACCATCTGCTTAGGGTGGAACATGAACTAGGAAAATTTGAAAAGGAGCTCAAAACAGTGTTTAATAATGTAAAGTGCCTGACAACCCAAACTGCAGATGGCACTATCCACTTCTATGGCATGTGGCATGTTTTTCATGCACCGTCTACTCAAAATAAGTTACCTAAATAATAACAGGAGCCTTTGGAAGCTTTATAGCTTGCATACCTGCTAGTTGTGTCTGTGCTTGCAAGCATCATTCTACTGAAACTGAATCCAAGCTGAAATGCCAGTGCTCCACCCTTTTCCGCTGCCTCCAGTCTCTTTCACTGGTAGTGGCTGCCTAGAGTTGCTGTCTTCAAATTTTTGTTGACAGAGTACTGTAAAGACTAACAAAAATCCTCCTGGTGTTGCACATATCCAGTTGATTTTTCCAGTACTGATGGTTCAGCAACAAATGCTACAGCCTTGTTGATACCTGTTCTTCTGTTGGAATACAGTTCTTTGCTTTTGTGTTTCTTATCCCTGTAAGGAAGTGGTATTTTACTGGGATTTGAGTATCCTTCTCTGTAGCAGAACTGAAGTGTATTCCTTCTCTTAACTGATGGCAGCAGAGTCCTGTGCTCAGTGGAGGACATTCTTGTAAGGACTTTGAGTCCTGCAAGCACTGGGAGTAAACCTGAAGACCTTCATTAGGAGCAGACAGATTCAAACAGAGTCAAAAAGATTATTTTATTGAAGAATTTTGTGTTGCAGAGATTTTGCTTTACAATGTAATTCCAAGTACACAGAATTTAGGAGAAAGATGATGAAATGTAGGAGAAGGATGATGCAGTGGAGAAAGAGTGGTGGTTTCGTTACCAAAGCAACCATTTTATAAGGACTGGTTGCAGACATAGCGGCTAATGGTGAGTTGAGTATTTTGTGAAATGTGCTTAACTGGTTGCTGTTCAAATGTGGCTACAGCTTTTTTAAATGGGTGGGCAAAACTCAGAAGCCATTGTATGGGTTTAAAAGTTCACAGCACATCAGTGTGTTGCTGGATGTTAGGTTTGATGAGAAAAATTAATTCACAGAAATGCCTGTGGTCAGTTGAGGAACACTGGAACGCAAATTTTCATTATCATTCCTTAGGAAGCAAAGGGGAAATCACCTCAAGTTGCACCAGGAGATGTTTAGATTGGCTATTAAGAAAATAATTCCTCGTGGAAAGGATTAACAAGCATTGGAACGGGTTGCCCAGGGAAGTGGTGGAGTCACTGTCACTGGAGGTATTTAAAAGGCATGTAGATGTGGCACTGAGGGATATGGTGTAATGGTGGACTTGGCAGTGCTGGACTAGTGGCTAGACTTAGTGATCTTAGAGAATTTTCCAAACTATATGATTCTGTGATTATGAAAGTAAAATTAAAAGGTTAGAGATTTTAACAGGTGACGCTTAACAATTCTTGATTTCAAAGAAAAAATTCGTTTCTACCTTGTGAAAGCAGATGCTATTTATATTGTTATCTGTTGAAAATAATGCTCTTTCATTAATATTTAAACTGTCTCCATACCCAGCACAGTCCAGAACTACTGTACCTTTAAAATATGAATGTGAGATGCACAAATTACAGACCTTAGATGCTGTTGACATTAATTATAGATAAAGGATTTCTTGAAGATTTTAGGAGATTTTTCTTCTGCTTCTCTTCTGTACTGTAGTTTTTTTTGTTCAGATTGGGAGGAGGACAGACTGAATTATGCTTGTGTAATTTTCCTCTGATTGTGCATTCAGAAACAATGTTTAAAAAAATATGGAAAGGGATTTGAATTCTCCTTTCTGGACTGCAGACACAACAGGCTAATGCAGCTGTAGAGATGTGCTCACGTAAGAGAGTTTATGTTATGAAAAAGTTATTTCTGAGTAATTATAAACAAAACCATGGCCCTTGGGATAATATAAAACCATTACTCATAGAACAGTTGTTTTGTTGCCACTAAAATATTTAACTTTTTCTTGCTTATTCAAGGTCAGCAGCTGCTTCCAAGGTCTGAAGCAGCAATTGTGTTATAACAGAATATAGCACAGTACATGAGGGAAGTGGATGGCTCAGACTGTGTCCTTGTGACCACATTTCCCTAATGTACGAGCAGCAAATACCAGCTAACAAGAATTTTTAAAATAGTCTTGCCTTTTTTTTTTTTTTTTTTTTTTTTTTTTTTTTGTAATAATTATCCTCTAAATTACAGAGGGAGCCTTGCAGGGGAAAATGAATCTATAAATCTTTCATATTCATGGATGTGGCACTGTTCACTACTGGTTCTTTGTGGTAACTTCATGTAACAGATTATTTGGGAAGCTTTGGCTTCCCTTTGCTGGGCATTAGGCACATGGAGAGGGACAAACAGGCCCATGTGAAATGTTGACAAGCAGGAGCAGAGTGCTTTAGTTAAGTGTCTTTCCTTGCACGAAGTAGGGACCTTGAACCCAGCCAGCTGAGAGTCAAGAAAGTGCTAAATGCTCATCTGTGTTTCTGTGGCCTCCAGGAGATTAGGCTGAGGGGGCTTGGCTTTGGACTGTGCCAATGAAAATGTTTTTAGTCATGAGCTCACCTCCCTGCTCCATAGGTCATGGATGCATTTTCTCACTAAACTTGATTTCGATATGAAGTGTACTTGCTGTTGGGATGGTGAAGATCAAAACCCAGGTCTGTGCCTTGGTAGAATGTATTTGTGAATAGTTTGGAGGCTGATAATCAATAACTTCTGACTAATCTTGCCCATTAATGTAGGTTAGAATAAAGGTGGAAAAAGCTGAAGAGTTTGGGTATGACTTAACAGACCTGAAAAACAAAATGAGTATAAAACTGTAAAACAAGAACTTATTATTTTCATACTGAAACACTGAAGGGCTATCTTGTATCTAGCCCATTTTTAAAATAATTTTCTAATGCCCCCAGTTTATTAAAGCTTTTGTGATATCTTTCCCAAA